ACACCCCCCATCCGGCAGCAACAGCAGAAAAAAACACCCCCCCGCAGCAATAACCAAGCAAAACACCCCACCGCAGCAACAAGAAAATAACATCACTTCCCCGCAGCAACAGCAAAAAAGCAGCAGCAGCAAAAACAAAAAGCACTCTTACCGTGTGTTTACATATACATAGAGCAGTGTGCATTGTATCTGTGATGTCATTTACAGCATTCTAGTCTTGTATTGGTAGTACGGACGGATCATTGCTGTCTATGGGCAACTGCGCCTGGATTTTGTCGTTCAAAGTCACCAACGCCATCGCAGCTCGGAGCCGCTCCAAGGTTTTACCGCGAGCGGACCGTGAACTTCTTCAAAGACCGGCATTACTTACGCGAGGACATAGCCCAAAGGGTCCAAGTGCTAGTATAGTATACATTTTAACGCCCAAATACCTACTACGTGGGTAGTTTCTGTCATGCTGCTGTGCCGTGTCATGAGTTTGGGAGTAGGGTCGCTCCTGTCTTCTTCCAGTGCAGCTTAAGCCCGACGCGGCCTGAGTGTCGGGACACAGCATACCGCAAGATACAACCGATGGCGTAGATGACAAGTGGTGATCCTGATGCTTAGGATGAAGATCATGATGTTGATCAGGGTGAAGGTTAGGAGCATGAAGTTGTCGCCATCGCCATCCTTAGCAGTAAATGCAGCAGCAACTCACAACAACAACACCAGACTTGTTGTCAGCGCCGTCCTTATTCTATGCTTCTGTGTTTCAGTCTTGGAGTTTATACAATTTTGATGTTCATGTCGACATGATCAGAAAAGCTGGCAATACCATCCGATTTTCTTCGCACAAGATCTCTCTGCAGAGCAATCTGTTGTCAATACTTCGGTTGTCGCAGGTGTTGCTGCCAGGATTACACTGAGTACGGCTCTAGACTCATGTTGGATCGTTTTTCATGATTGTGATCTATCATGGCCTCGTGTATATAACTTCTGACTGCACTTCCTGTTTCTGCGAGAGTTGCTGAGCCCGCACCATTGAGTCTCAAGTTTAGCAGTGCTGGCAAAGCCCCAGCCGCGCGTGCATCTTCAATCCTTGAGCCCTCACATCCCCATGAATAGCCCACAAACCTTCAACGTGCTGATGTTGGGGCGGAGAACGACGCAAGAATTAGGAAATTCTAAACTTAAAACCCAAACCCCTCAAAAGCCCCCTATAGATCCCTTGAAAGACTCCTTTGGGAGCCTTTATAGATCCCTTAAACTGGGTCCTTGTTGGACATAATTTTACAGTTTTGTTATAATAAAACACAATAAGGATTTAAAATGATCATTTTTAATATGGCCCCAACAGGGAACCAGTAAAGGAATCCACCATGAACGTCTGCATGTGTTGTAAAGCACCAAGCCCCAAACCCTGAAACCATAAAGTCCTGAATCCCTAAACCCTAAGAGCCCCAAGCCCTCATTCCCCAGACCGCAGAGTTGTAGCATCGTAGCCTTGAACGCCATGCTGCGAGTCTTCGCCATCTCGGGGACAGAAGTGGCAACCTTTAGCTCCCGGGTAGAATTCACATGGAATCATGGTTTGATAGGGTCTAGGGCCTAGGGTTTAGAACGAAGGTTCACAGGGGCGTTCATAGAGGTTTGCAGGAATGTTATCAAGTGGTTTGTGTAAGGAGCTTGTGGGCTTCATAAGGGATTTTCCGGCTTGCGAAAAGTTGTCCAGCGAAAAGTTGTCCAGGGGGTTTGGTTGGGGTCTTTATGGGTTGCTTTGGTATCACAGCGGATTCGGGTTCGCACGAGGTGTCTTTCAAAATGAGTCTTGGTAGCTAAAGCCGACCCTGCGGGTTTGGGGCTTTAGGGTTTAGGATTTAGGGTTTATGCTTTAGGGTTTAGGGTTTAGGGTTTAAGGTTTCGAGTTTAGGGCTTACCCGGTAAGTCCTTTGCCTTCTTTTTTGTGGGTTGGAAATGAAGAACCCGGTAACCAAGACACTTGACGTATAATTCCAGTCAAATCTAAAAAAACCCGGAAATCCTGAATCAACCCTAGATTCCTGCCTTGCTGGGGCTTGAGTGTGGCCATTTCTACATGCAGGGTTTCTTCAGGCAGTTTGGATGGAACTTATATCGCTGTTGTAGCAAGTGGGGAGCTGCCCCTATGATCGCCATAGACACATGCCTACTTCAGAAGTGTGTCTAGGGGTCACTTAATAAAGATTTACATGCTTGTGCACGATGCTGATGTGGGTGCGGACTACATCTGCAGACCAGCTCGGAGCTCGGATTTTATGCCACAGGATGCATGCATCGTTGCGGCGCTGCCTGCACCAGGGCTGTTTAGCAATGAACGTGTTAAACCACTTACCTGCAGCTTTTGTTCAAGGGTTCTTAGGGTGGCTCTGCTTGTCGGTATGGCAAAGGGTGATGGAAGTGCAATGGATGTCAGTGGGCTTGCAGGTGACTGGGAGGCAAATGCTTCGGTGCGCCAGTCTGCTCGTGACACTGGGCTCTTGATGCGGGTGCCTAACGGTGCTGCACTGTGTGAGCCCAGCCGGCCGAATGCTGTTGCGAATGCGGATGTTCTAATTCCTTGCTTGGAGCGCATGGCTTCGACCGGCTTGAAGCTTCCTTACATGACTCCACTGCAAGATGAGGTAGAGATCTTCTTTCGACAAGTGCATGTCAAGGTTTCGGAGAAGATTGCATACAGAACAGCTGGTGAATTGAAGAGGATGTTGTCTTTCATCAAGAGAAAGGCAAACAAGAAGGAGGTGACGAAGGATACTTGTGTTTTATGTGTGTTTCTATGATGTGATGTGGGTGTGCATGGTGTGTAGGAGTACACAAGACATGCCTATATAAATCCTAACTGAATCTATGAGTGATTACTCTATGTCAGTGTATATATATATATATGTTGTGCCCACTATTCCGCGCAGGACACGAGATTTCACAAGCTGCTGTTGATCATCCGTCCGGACCTGCAGGACGGGTTTTCTGAGTGATTCTTTAGCTCAGGTATTTAAGGATAAGTGTTTCCAGCATAGCTTGGATTACGAGCTCAGTGGCTGATGAGATTGCGAGGTTTTACATATATATATATATATGTATATAAATATATTGGCTTCTATGCAGCATGGAATTGCAACTATGTGTGCATGCAGGAGCACATCGACTTGTACATGGCTGGATCGCTGAGGCCCAGCAACCTTGCAACTGCTGCACGGGAAGCTGGACTGCGATCGCGCAGCAGTGGCAGCTTAGAGGGTTCGACTGGGGATGAGAATGACGGCGAGGACGATGAGCCAGTCGATAGGGAGACTGACTTGGAGGAGTTTCGTCGTTGGCTCGACGGGCAACCCCGAGGTGCTGCGGAGCCTGCCCCGTGCGCAGCTGTGCCGTCCCCATGTGAAGCTGTAGCTACTGCGCCATCCCACCTGGAAACCGTAGCTGCTGTTCCATCCCGACCAGAAGCCGTGGCTGTTGCTCCATCCCAACCAGAAGCCATAGCTGCCCTGCCATCCCAACCAGAAGCCCTAGTTTCTGCGCCATCCCAACCAGAAGCCATAGCTGCTGTGCCATCCCCACCAGATGAAGCCCTAGTTGCTGCGCCATCCCAACCAGAAGCCGCCCGAGAGCCATCCCCAGAAGTTTCCACTGGATCCAAGGCCCCATCCAACACAAAGCAGACCGCTGAAGCAGAGCTCCCATCCTCCTCAGCAAAGGCCACACAGCCCATGCTGAACCGGTCAAGGTTGATGGCCACTGCTGGAAGCGATACAGGGGCAGCGTCTGCTACGAGGGTGCATGAGTCGACTTGGCACACTCCCGGCAACTGTGACAAGTGTTTGAAGGAGCCTGGTCAGTGTAACTCGATGGCATGTATATATATATATATATGTATATAGTCGATATATACATGCATTGACCGGGTATCTTTTATGGATGCTTGTTATTGTTGGTGTTGCTGCTGCAGGCAATTGCAAGAAGATCGCGGCCATGAGAGCGCAGATGCAAGCACTCATTGCCATGAAGAAGGAGCGCATTCGGAGGTTTCGTCGATAGCAATTAAAGTGCTTTCTAAACATCGCTTGTGATGATAGTTAATAATCATGATATACGGGATAGAGATCCACAGAGCTATGCACACACATCTAGCCGTGGCTCCCTCAGTGTCGTTGTATATGTATATGCATATATATATATATATATATGGACACACCTGCATGTATACCCCTATATATATATATATAAATGTGTATATGATTTCGTGCAGATGTAGATATACATATATGGACATGTATAATATATACATATATATATATATATATGCACATAGATTACATAGACGCACAAACAAAATATACTATACATCTACATATGCAGGCATACACAAAACACATATATGCATGCATGTATTCATATCTATGTACTGGGAATCAGACAGTCACATGTGTGTAAGTAAGCAAACCACACCTACGTACATAAGTCGTGTGTGTATGTCTGGAAGATCCACGTGCATTTCAAATGTATGCTAATTTTGTTATGAAGTCATTGTTCGGGGATGCCTGATAGCCCATGTGCTTTGTTGTTGTTCCCATCCCACTCGCACTGTGCTTGGAAATACTTGTTGAGTCTTGCTTAGCATGTTTTCGTTGTGCCCCATTCCCCGTGGCAATCTTGAAACCTTATAGACTTATATAGGCTTCTCAGCACTCCCCTCAGCTGCCTGCACTTCCTATCTGTCATTGCATGATAACGAAAGCCCGATCTGATAAGGCTTCAGACGTCGCAGCCACCTCCTGTTGAAGAAGCTCGGGGACCTATGGCAGCGGCTGGGCCTGCTGCTGCAGGATATGATGGGTTATCACAAAGTGCCTACATGCCTTGCAATGCTGGTGTGTGTGTATATATATATATATATGTGTAGAGGTATATATATATATATATGTGTGTGTGTGTGTTTAATCTATGTAAAGATTATTCACCTACTAATACAGATTCACACGGGTACTCATGGAGGCCTTATAGATATATAGTCCTATAAACAGTATATATTACGAACACATAAACAAATAAATAAATAAATCAATAATAAATACATATATATATATACATGTACGAGATGGTGCTGTATTAATTGCTATTGTTGTTATTCCTTTATATATATGCCATACTGAACTATGTTGATTACTCTGCTCATATATATATATATACATATTCATATATATATACCTTATATATGCATGTATATATATATATGTCACAGATGTATGTCTATGCATATCTATATATATATATACATATATATATATATGTGTGTGTGTGTGTATGTGTGTATACATATATAGATATAGAGAGCGACTGTAGTCTCTCTCTCCCACTACGTATCTAAATATCTACTCACATGCATATAGTACGTGTGTGTACAAATGAATACATACACATGTGTATATAGGTGTGTATATGACGGCGAGTGCTATTCCTCTGCGTGAGATTGAACATGCAGTACTGAAGTTGGATTGGTGCATTATGCGGTTGTAGTTCTTTATATCTATATAGATGTAACATCGAGTAATGGAAGATCTTGCTTCGCAGGAACTGCAGTCCTGAATCCGGACACCGTCGAGACGCAAGTTGTTGAGTCCTACGAGGAGATGCCAGACATCCCAGCCCCAGCACCTGTGTTCCAATAGGTTATGTACATGGCATGCAGTGCTGATGACCCCATATGAAGTGTCCTCATGTGTTAAATAAGGCAACAGACTCCAGTGTGACCACAGAGATGGAAGTTGACGTGCAGCCGGCTCGGGAGGTTACTGGGTCCAGTCACATATGATCGAGCCTATAGGGATATATTAGTTCGCTTGACCTATCTTTTGTTTACATATATATATATATATGTGTGTGTATGTCTACCTTTATCTATCTCTCTCTATATATAGATATGTATGTGTATATATATATATACACTTATCATTTACTTAGGTACATGTATAAATACATACGTAGAGATACCCTGTGCATGCATGGAGAAGTTTTCCAGTCGGGTCAAAACCACGGAATGAAGTGAGTTCAAAGTTTGTATCATCTCAGGTTCTTACGCGAACTCAGCAGCTACAGCTTAAGAACGAGCAGAAGAAGGCACGAGCTGAAGCGAAGGCGAACCCGAAGAATGGTGCGAAGAAGGGTGATGATGGCTGTGACCAAGGCCCGGGTGGTCGAGGCCGTGGTGTGAAGGATCCTGAGACTCCGGTGCGTCGGCAGCTCTTTCCGGAGGAGGATGCGGAGATGAAGGCAGCAAAGGCCGGGAAGCCTGCGGGAGCAAACCCTGGCAAGCGCCAGCGCGTGGCTGGCGAGCAGGGTCAAAGAGCTGTGGTGGAGGCAGAGTTGGGCTGGGACGGCCGTGAGGATTTGGATGAGGCTTGGCCCGTCAAGAAGGTGCCTGAGCCGGTGGTTGGTGCCACCCCCATGGTGATCCATCCGGGCCGGCTCCGTTGCCCAAGCAGGTCTAATTTGATGGGCAAGCTTTCTCCAAAGGCCAAGGCCCTTGCAGGACGCAGCCCCGCTGCTAAGACAGGCAAGGCTTCGAAGCCAGTGGTTCGAAAGACGCTGCTATGGCAGGGACCAGATGGTGATCTGGATCCGGCCTGGGTGGACAAGCCCACGAAGAAGCGCATCGCTTTCCTCCTGAATGGCGTGGCTTCCTACACCTTCGACGAGGTCAAGAGCCACGTCCTGGCCGAGCGCAAGGATTTCAAGAAGACACAGCTGACAGCCTACTGGACGAGGTGTGCGGTGGGCTTGAAGCTCCTCTTGGACCCATGCCGGCCCCAGATGTGCACAGTGAGCTTCAAGAAGAGCTACCCGAACAGCTGGAACCATACGATGGTTGCAGCGTACGCAGTTGTGCTCAAGCTTGCCTTTTGGTTCAATTTACATGGGAGGGGTCAGTGTTTGCGATTCGAATCGAGTTCTTGCATTTCCGAGTGGAAAGCATATATAACCATTATATAGTAATTATATAAAGTGATTGACAATATATAGGCATTCCTAATCATAACGTGGTGTTATTAGTGATAATGTAGTCAATATACGCTATATATGTATAGGGTTATACATTCATCTCTCTCTACTTTACTCTCGCTTCCTTTCTCTATGACGCTCTGAGTATATATATATATATGTATGTATGTATGTATATATAATGCATACAAACACATGTCCATTCATATTAATATTAATGTATACATATATATATATATATATGTGTATCTGCATATATTAATATAAACATATGTGCAGATAATATTTCTGGAATAATGTCTATAAATATATCTAAAGATGTATACACATATATATAATATAGAACACCATGCAGACTGTAAACATACGTGTAAACACATATGCTGAGTGCATATATATATATATGTATATGTACACGGACCGTACCATGTATATGTGCCCAAAGACATGCATGTATGCATACATACATTCCTGCATTCACAAAAATAGATCGACATGTGTGTGCACATCTATGTGGCTGCAAAACTATGCATGTATATGGCTATATGCATATAGATTCGATCATATAGTTATACTTGCCTATATACACATATATATCTATGCTACAACACAGACACATGCACACACATACACGTGACTTGCACACATCATACGTATGGGGCTCGCAAACATGTGCTGTTACCTTTAGACATCCCAGGCGGAGATCCTGGAGGAAAGCGGACCTGACCATCCGATTTTCGACTTGAAGCGAGTCGATGATCCCAGGGGGCATTTCCAGACCAATCTTGCCGTGGCTTACGCTAGTGGGCTGAGCGCCCTGAGAGATATTTTGCTGGAGGACACAAGCTGAGTCGTGCAGCTGGGTGTCTAGGCTGAGGCTATCTAGATTCCATCATTCTGTGATAACGACATACATGGATCCGTCCATAGGCCCCCAAGTAGCAACCTGTGATAATCATATAGAACTATATAGACTCTATATAGACTTCATAAATCAGAGCCTCGATCAGCCTGGACCCCGGATCTCGATGCAGTTTTGCTCGCCACGGGCCGGTGCACATTAGAACACGCTCCTTAGATCAGGCAGCTGTGTGCGTGTGTCTTCCCACGTGCTTGGGGGTGTGATGTGTGCCGTTGGCGATTTAATTTCGTAGGATCTGCATGGCGACGTGGACTAGCGAAGTCTTGTCGTGCAGACATGACAATCGGAAGATCTGGGAAATGGAGAAAAAACAGTGTGTCAACTGTGCTGCTACACACCCTCATGCATTCTGATATGCTTCCGTTACCCACTATATAGTGTTGGCGATCCATATGCAAAACCCCCCTGCTAACATGCAATGCATGGACTGCCCAGGTCTCATGGCCAGCCTACGGGGCAAGCGCAAGTTTGCGAAGCTGGGGGTTCTGCCGGACGTGGAGTGTCTGGCCAGCCACGCTTTCCAGTGTTTCGCATGGGTCAATCAGTTAACTAGCTCCCTAGATACAGCTTTAAAGTCACAAAGAACGGTAGACAGGGCCATGTAGACTGTGTCATCTTCAAGGGGCAGTGTTTTACCATTCATTGGTTTAGTAAAATCGACTAGCAGCATCTAGACCGCTGTTGTCATCTGATCATGGACGTGGGTCTAACCGCATGATGTGTTCTTGCTGATTGATGTGCCGAGAGTCAGCAGCTGCCATTGCCGTGCGTCCAGTACAGCAGCCAATCCTCCTTGGTTTGATGTGTTGCTCTCTGTATGTGTTATGTCTGGATTGCAGCAGCAGCAGCAGTGGGATTCAGGAAATTAGGTGACTACCTGTGCCTATATGACCAGCCTGACTAAATGCCATGAGCACTTAAATGCCATCGGTCATGCCTAGATCTACTGTTACGTTGGAGTGTGGCCTGTGTTGTGACTCCTGAGTCACGCTGTGCTTTTCCGGCAATGCCCAGCATGGATCTGGATGTCTTGTTTTATCGCCTACGCGTTCTTGGGGCACCGAAGGTGACACGGCTCGACAGTGCATCCTAGCAGGGCTCTATATACAGTTACCTGCACCATATCCTGATGTTCTGACTTGTGTTCATCTGCAATTGTTTGAGGCTTTTAAGGTTCCGGAGGATAGGGTGTGGTCTTCAGGCTTCCAATGTAGAGTTACAATCTTGGTTTATAGTTAGTTTCCTAGGATCCGGAAATCCTCGAAGGTAGTAGCCCCAAGGGTCCATGTACCCGAATGCTATATACTTTGGGCCCCCAAGTACCTATATGAAGGGAATACATACAAGTAAGCTATATATATATATATATGTATATATCATTTATACGACCAAAGTGCATATATATATATATACTGTTATAGAGTACATGGACCCTTGGGTAAATACGTTGTAGACTGTAAAGGTATAAGACCTTAACTTTCTCGCGGCGGAGGGTCTTCGGGTCTTCAGGGTTTGAGTTTGAGCGCTACAAGCTATAGCACGTTTTGGGTTTACAGAGGCTTTATGAGGGAAAGGGTGCAACAATTAAATTCTTATCGTCTATACCCCTACAGCCCCCAATCCCCTAAACCCTGTAAATCCAGGATACCCCTACAACCCCCAAAACCCTAAACCCCATAAACCCAGGGTCCTAGCTCAATCCCAAAAGCCGGCTCGGGAGCTGCCACAGGGATGGATTCTGGGCTGTGCCAAGCCATGCTCCTGTCATATACTTTCAAGTGTTGTTCGTATACATAGGTACATAGATATATGCAAATGTATACATGTCTATACATGTATACATGCAAACAGAAGTACACCCATATCTATCGATAAAAAACGATGTAGTATGCTAAAAAAACATACTGGCGAATAGGCATGGGTAAGTAGCTATATAAATATGCAGATAGACCCTTCGGTAGATATATAGGTATGCAGATAGACACATAGATAGATAGATAGATAGATAGATAGATAGATAGACAGGTAGATAAATAGGTATAGATAGATCGGTAGATAGATAAATAGTTAGATGGATAGAACGATCGATAGATAGATAAGTAAATAGATAAATAGATAGATCGATAGACAGATAGATAGATCGATATGTTCGTGAGAGATAGACTGTTAGATAGTAAGATAGATAGATCATAGGTAGATAGATAGACACTTTTACAGATAGATGGCTTGCCAGTGGACACCTCGAAAGACAGCAATATCTCTGTACCTCGAGAGAGAGAGAGAGATATATATATATATATATACATAGAGGTCTGTCGCCAGGTTGGTAGATAGAGGTAGACAGATAGACAGACAGTTCACACACAAACCTACATGTCTACCCACATGCACATATACAGATGTATGTATACGTATACATATATGTGTGTATATATATGAGCTATACATACATACATATATATGGAAACATGATTACATGGAGTCGAAGTCTATTTATACATAGCTGAATAGAAACTCCGTCTATCGTTATACACACATACACATCTATATGTATCTACACATGTATCTATATGTATGGATACATATAGATATGTGCATACCTAGGTATCAGGGTATATATGTCTATGTCAGTGTGTGAATATCTACATGAATGCCAGAGCCACTGCCAAGGTACTTCTCCTCGCGATTCTCTTGTTGACGTGGACGGACTACCACGAAGCTGAATTGCAGGCAAGTTCCCAACGTTTGTGATGGTTGAAGCCTTTTCTCTATTTGCTTCAGGGCCTTCCGTTGATGGGTCTCTAATTGCATTGCTGAAAGAGTTGGGTTCCAAGCTTTAGGGGTGCAGGGCTTGTATATTTAGTAGACAGCCTTGATCACTCTGAAATCCAATGGATGCAGATCCCGAATAACCTGCTAGAAGCCTAATAAAACACAGGTCAATAGAAGTAACCGCGCACGTGTGGTTCACAATTGTGCGAACAGGATGTCTGTTGAGTACTTGTCACATGTTCTCGTGCTAGGGTGTGTATTTCGTGCTACATGCTGTCAATGTAAATGTAGCATGTTTGGTTGAGCTTGGTATGTCAGTCCAACCACCCATAGCCTAATGTGTTTATTTCTTCTCGGAGACGTCTGACTATACTAAGTACAGCTTCCTATGGCCACGCATGTGTAAGTGCATATTCATGCAGAAGACGTACCTACCTGGTGGCTACCTTTAGCCCCTGTATGTGGCTACATCGGACATAGTCGGCTTAAATGTGCTTGTCGAGACACCTACTATATATGTCCACACACTCATGTGTACATGCATATACATGCATATATATGCTTATTCCACATCTCGACGCATCCTCTGCTTTAGCTGAGTAGCTGCCATAACATCAGTTCGTCTCTCCAGGGTGTAGCAGTGTAGCAGCTCGATGAATTGTTAGGCCTGGGCTATTCGGATCGGGATCGTTTGGTCGATACCATAGTCCTGGAGTTGCTGCCTACTCCTAGATAACGGTGGGGAGTTGTCAGGTTCTATGGGTTCTGTGGCTTTGCAATGTCCGAGGCTTCTAGATACAGGTGTCCACGGGCCCACGATTGTAGCGAGGACAAATTTAAATGGGCTAGGAGAAGCCCTGAACATCACTTGAACATCCGTACTGATCCCGTGCAACCAGGTTTCGGTACACCAATATACTCAACCAAGTGCTATATAATGCCACTCTATCTGTATATATATATATATATACATACATACATACATACATACATACACAGTGGCTTCTACCAGGGGATTTGACACTCACTGAACTTAAACATGAGCTGTGTTACAGTGGCACACTACTTAATAGTAGAAAGCCCCACCATCTGTCATGTAGAGTAGAAGCATCATCAACTGTGACGTGTGCCAGAACAGTGGCTACTACAGCTTCATCGAGATGTTCGCAGGCAATGCTGAAGCAACACGGATGATGAGGTATGCCGGGCACTGTGCGGTCAAGCTAGACTACAAGTATCACATAGCACCCCCTGGAAAGCAGAACTACATGGATATCTTGACTCCATCAGGCTTCCTGCATCTCGGTGCTCTTTTGATGACACTTTCGCTCATTGTAGGTTCGAGCTCTACTTCATCTGTCAGACACTGTACCGACTAGGAGATATCCGGTGTGCGCAAGGGAATTAACTCGATACGCTGATAAGTGGCCCATCCCAGGTTGGCGTTGTCAATGGTGATGCGAGGAGATCCTCGGGGATTCTGGTGCCATTTTGGCATCAAATGTGGTAGCTGGAGTCAAATGAGTCAGGGAACGTCGGGCAGGTCGATTTGCACGGCTCTGGGTAACCAGGATCATACTTTCGTACAGGAGGGTAACTGCATGGCTTCGAGGATGCTCTGATGCATTACATAGCTGTGTTTATACTCTCTACGCAAGCAGTGTGTCAACAGAAAGGAAAACATCACCTGCTGTCCTTCTGAGTGCTCCTGTTGCACATGCTGGAGCCTGCACACCCTTGCCACTGCATGGCTTAGACATCAAACATCGTGGTTTGGCAACCAGCTAAGGATGTCACTGTTGCTACTGGTCGTGACGGCCATGTCCGGAGTATGGTCCGTTGAGCAGCCAAGCGGCAGTTTCCTGGAGTATTATCCGCGCTTCCGCTCGGTTATGCGGGCATTGGGTGAAGGTGCAGTAGCTCGGCCTGATGCGAGTTGCTGGTGTGGGACTTCAGATTTACTAATCATACTGCTCAAGGCTTGTTCCGGTGTTATGTCATACGGGGCTTCAACCGGCCTGCTTCTTTCCAGGATTTGAATCTAGAATCTCTTGGGGCAGCCATACGTCTCAAATTCTTATTGGGTGAGGGTTACTGGACGAGGGTTCGATGACGATGTTTCCGATCAGCTAGACAGTAGGAGGACACAAGTAAATGTAGCTCATGCAGTGCATCCGAGTCGAATCCTGCAATTATAGCTCCTGTGCTGTATTTATGAAACCTAAAAAAAGTCCCTCTGAACATTCAAGCCTTCGGTGACCGTAGAGTAAACCTTCACTACACCCCATATATACTCAATGGTCCTGTATGTAACAATTATATAACCCTCTAATTCAAGACCTTCCCCACTCCCTGTGTGAACACGTGTCTGCGCACGGCTTACGTGCATATGTGCCTTTAACTTAATCTAGCTTACACGTTCTGTTTCTAGATGGTTACAGCATACGAAGATTATGTGTGCACGTTGCTTGCATTGTTGCCGTACAACGACATGGCTACGAAGGATGAACTATTAACCACATACATGTTAATGTGCTGCTACCAGCCTAGGCGATCGATGTCACACCATGTTTCAAACTGCAAGGTCAGGTGATATCGTCTGAGAGCCGAGTGTCTCCACCTGTCCTGGCGTCTAAGCAGCCTGCATGCGCAGATGAGCGAACGCATGCTAAAGTATTGTACTGAGCTCATGCATCTGTGTTTTTGTCTACATAACACATGTAGGTGAGGGTACCTGAGCATTGGAGTGTGGGATTGGGGTGCTTGCCTTCTGAGCGATAGGGTTGTAGGTGCAGCTTCGCAGTGCAAATGTACTGCTAGATATTTGCGGACTACGGTGTTTGCAGTAGCTGTCTGAAGCTGCTCTTCGAAAGGTGAGCTTGGCAATGATCTGACCTAGGTCCTTACTACCCGATCCCCAAAGTATGTATATATATATATATACATACATTTATGTATGTGTATATATATATACACGTATATTTATGTATGTATATATATATATGTATATATATATATATATATACATATATATATATATGCAGGAAACATGAATCTTAGGTGACCTCAAACCGCCAATGCTTCTTGTTGTAAGTCTGATGGCAACAGCCAAAGCTAGCCCTTAAGCCCCGGCGCTTGGAGTAGTCCTCTGGGACTGAAAACCCTGAGTCTTATAAAGCCTGCTCCAGACCCCCCCACCCCCACCCCCCCACCATACTTCGCAAACCAGGCTTCGAGGTTGGCAATGGTTTAGATGTAGTTGCCTGGAGATGGAAGGATGTTGGGTCGAAGTACTGGGGTACCTGGTACATATTCTTCCGGGTCGGTGACAGGGTGCAAAGGGATCTCAGATCACTTAGTCTGTTGCTAGATGGACTATATAAAGGAATGTAGTGCCATGGCTGGACTGAGACATCCAGACATATGTATGGGCTTCTGTGCACATCTAGGACGGCTTCCTTGCCATTCCACAAATCTGTTTGGGTTAATGTGTCATGCTGTCGGGTGCTGAATGGCAGGCCTCGAGATCTAAGCTACTTCAGAGTGCCTATGGCAAAGCAGCGCTACACATAGATACTTAGACTCGTGCTTGGTATATGCAAGTGTCGATCCTGTGTACCTCTTCCAGCTAGTTGCATAGGGAGATGGTAGGTGATGCAAGGATTCATAGTTGGGTGATGGCTCTCTGCTATCGCGTGTCAAGTCTGGATATGCACAGCACCTGCGGCAGACCGGCGTCCGCTCACACTGCATGGATCTGCGAATCGAGCCAGAAACGATTAACAAGGACGTGTCACGACGACTTGTCCTGGTCGGTGTAGGGCTGAAGTGTTCATCTATCCTGGGCTTTATACAATTGCTTCTATCCAGGGCTGTGGGGCTACCTTCGGACAGGGCATGCCGCAGAGGTTGGCATCTGGTCATGTTGGGGCTTCGGTGCTACACAGACTTAATTGTAGACTTTATGTATAAAGATTAGGAGATGTAGCGAGCTCCCTGTACCCTTATAAGAGTTTGTGCGATCCATGGACATACGGGCCCGGTGCATGAAGTGGATGTGCTAGACTGTGCATGCTGGGTGATTCATCGGGTTTGTTCAAATTCATGTGTAACAGTATTGCATAGCTCAGTATGATGAGCAGATGTCGTCCCATTGTCGTTACATTGACATATGCATGGAGAGGCCAGGAATAGCCATCGTCTGTCTGTAGTTTACTTTTCTGGGAACCCAAACCTGGCACATTGGCTTTATATGTCCCTGCACTCACAATCCAAGGTTACCAAGGTGACCTGGCATATGTGGCACTACGGAGCTCCTACGCCAAAGCCGCACTGGGCTTTCGCAAATGCAAGTGCCATAAGCCTGCTCTACAAGGGCCCGCTTCGGAACTGGAAGGAGTATTGCAGGACTCATCCGGACAGAGTTCGCACAAGCCACCGATATGTAGACAATCGTGGAGTTAAGCGCTTCCATGGAAACAAGAACCTCAAGCCCACGGAGTAGGGTCCTCAGAAACTTAGCACTCTCATGTGTGTCGTGTACCTGTTCAAAAGACTCTCATGGGAGAGACATGATCGCATAGGCATGGTACACAGTACATGTGTTTGTATTTGTAATGGAGGGATGTTGTTTTAGTATTTAAGGACTTCGGTGGGATATACAGATTTGCGGGGGTTCTACATGGTCTTGACATAGGGTTATATAAGGCCTGCTAGGGTAGGTTATCCCTAAGCAACCTTTAGTAAAGCCTACGGCCCCTCTCCTAAAAGAGTTCACTTTGTGGGCTTGGAATGGTTGTCACACGACATACCTCCCAAAGATACCAGTTCGCCAACGTTATGCGTGTTGCCCCATGGAATCCTGTGTAAAGATATACCCCTTTGCCTCTCAGCCCAGGCACTATCCACCCCAATTCGGGTTGCGCCTGGTGGAGCTCCACGATCAGGTGCTGGCCAGTCAGAAAGGCACGCCCCAGCTGCCGGAGGAGGTGTCGTCAGCGATGGATACCTTTAGTTCGATGGCTTACGATGATATGTGGGAAGATGCATGCATGAGTGATTGCATCCGGTATATTCGCGGGGGCACTTCTTTACGAATCCCGGAAGTTTTCCGTCCTTTGCTGCCCACTTCACTCTGAGCTGTCTACAGCTCAGAGTATGCACATGGTGCATTGTGTGATGTACAGTACAGTACGTACAGTTTGAGTTCGACCTAATTCAAGCAAGGGGCTCGGCTTCTGGTTTGTACTGGTGGCATCCGATGTATTCAGTAGAATTGATAGGGGTCAGCTGTTTCTTCTTTTGGATGAGTATGTAGCAGTTGAGAGGTTGTGGTTTTGACAGCAAGTAGCCCGGGCTGCTGGGAGCCGTGCTGCTCGTACTATACATTTAGAAGAGAAAGCTGGGGGCCTGGCTCCTCCGACCATGGATTTCACTGTCTAGGTTACATAATAATATAATCATCATAGACTTTAACATAGCCAGGTACAAAATAACCCGGAAACACCCGTAACCTACCCGTATTCACCCGTAACTTACCCGTAATCACCCGTAACCGCTAAACACAAAACCCGGTAAATCCTTAACCCGTATTTTCTTGACCCGTATTCTACCCGTAACCTGCCCGTAAAAAGCCGTAACCAACCCGTAAAATTTTATGGGGTATTTTAGTACTATATCATACACACTAAGACACACTTTTGTTAGTAGCTCGTCTTTCCTAGTGGGGGTTGCTGTCAGCTGCTCTGTATTGATGCTAAGCAAGTCCTGACTTGTTGGAATCCCAACCCGAGGCTGTCTGTTCTGTTTCCACGAAGTTATATTAAGTAGTATGATGGTAGATAGTCTTCCCCCAGGAGCAGCATCTACTTGGAACACAGTCAATCATCTTCAATCTAGAGATAGCACTGACCAAGAACAAACAGTAGCATGCTACATCTAGTGTGACACAGTTCTCTAAAGATGTAGACGGGTTGGAGCTGGTCCGTTCCAGCTGCAATGGATACAGTGGACAGCTTGTCTGTGCTAAAAGTAACAGTGCCCATTTGCATGCAGCCTCCAACAGTTAGCAGCTGATTGCCGCCGTGTAGCATGCAATTCGAGTTGTTGTCGTTGCTCGAGAACGAGTACTGGGTGCAGGTTCGAGAAAAGGGTGTCCGGGAGGTGGCCGAAGAGAGGGAGCAGCGGATCACGCAGAGCACGCAGGATTGGGTCCTATAGTAAGTGTGTATCTACATAAGAGTTGTGGTTCCTCAAATACAGCAAGAACAACAAACTGCATGCTCGTTAGTGCAGGAGCGCCGTGCCGCCCTCGATGGTGACTACTCTGCTGTGAATGGCTACACAAACCGCATCGAAGCCAACGAAGCCCCTTGTGTCCAAGTGACCACCGAGGCTCGAAATGAGATGACAATCCAGCAGTTGAGATTAAGTTGTGCTCTGCTCCATCCATAAGCAAGAGGAAACCAAAGCCAAAGAGACCTTCCGCAAGTTCATTGACAGTGTGCTGGCGAAGAGTGCCAAAATTCGTGCCCTCATCCGTGACATTTCCAAAACCTATGATGACCCTCTGGCCGTTCAGAGACCTGTTTCAATATGAAACCATGCCCTCGGAATTCAGACAACTACAAACTCCAAAATAAGTCCACCGCCAAGGAGCATCTCTGCCTTGGAGAATGATGCCAAGACCTTGGAGGAGACATACACGTGCCTTTCGGAGATGCAGGCCAAGGGTGAGATGAGCAATCACGATGCTACGAGGCTCAGCTCAATTCGACAGATAAGATGCTCAAGCATTAACCCGCCCCAGTAGCCATCCCCTAACATGGGTACAAAGAAGCTTTACCAACACAGATGTGCCTCAGGGACATGATGACTTTCCTTCGATGCCTGCAGCCTATATATAGTTCATTACTTGGGCTGGGGGCTCTTAGTTATCCAAACCTTTATCCCCAATATAATATCATGCTGGTCATTCTGTCTCTGTATAGAGCACTCCTACACCAGGACACAAGATTCCATAAACAACTACACCTGCGTCTTCGAGGACTTCCCTGGTCTGTACAATATTGGAACCCCCCTAGACTTGGAACTACCTTCACTACCCAAACAGTGAGCATCTGCTTGCATAATGAGAACAATCAACTGCTGGGAAACGAACTCATAGTAATATCATCTAAAAACCCAAAACAATATATACACAACATCTCTCAGAAAGGCCATGCCCCAACCAAGCCCTAGCCCATGATCATACCCTTCTAATATCCTAACCCTTTCTATACTTAACAGAAGCTGGACGACTGTCATTCATTTTTGACATGTCAAAATCTCTGTCGTGCCAAGTCCCCATGTTAACATAGTGCTCGAACGTCTCGAACCATCATCGCCAGTGCAGCCTGAAATCAAGCGGGATACTGCTGGGTGCTGCAGCTGGCTGTGTCAAGCCGTGGTTCCATAATCGTATCAAGTATTCATACTGTGTTACATATCTAAATATACATAACTGTATTTATTTATGTATGTATTTCTACACATATATGCATACGGCTGTCTAAAGCTGGGGTTGCTTACTGCGGTATGGATGCAAGGTGTATGGTTGTCGCGAACTTGTTGGGGTTCGGATGGTAATATAATCGAAGCTGTGTGATTAGGTACTTTACAATAATTGTTAAGGGGCTTCATATATGTGTGGTTTCGATTACTTCAAAATTTTAGAGCTTCATCCATGCATAGACAGTTTCGGCTTGGTGCAACAGTTTGTTCTTGATCCCGTGTAGTAGGCACGTTGCTCGTAGTTGGTGTAAGCATATCACAATGTACTAGGCCGACAGACTGCCTTGGGGTGCCACATGTACATGTGTCACCTGTCTACACTGATACTCTTATCTTACGTAAAGTCCATGCCTATGTAGACCCCTAACGAGTAACATGTGTGTAGTCATGTGTGGACATATATTGCCTGCCCGTCTTTCCATTTATACATGCATCCGGCCCTGCATGTTCTCATGCATGCTACACTGGTCTGGATCGCGAAAACCTGAAGATCTCACAGTTGTCTTAGGTGGCGCAAGGAGGCCGAACAAAAGATGAAGGATGAGACGTACAAGCAACCCGGCTTATTCCTCGATCGATCTGTAATAGTGGACAAGCTGCTGCAATATATTCGGCAGATGTGCGTCGGCTGGCGCGCAGTGCTGCTGAAACCCAGGCTTGCCAAGGTGGTCTCCAATGAGAACAAAGTGAAGACAAAGCCTTAGCTTTGCCAGGGTGTGACCACTGATAGCCGGGACCAATCTTTTGTCACTTCATGCAATGGGCTATGTACCTAGATATATACATATACCCCAAGCGAAGCCCATTCACAACATCTAGCTGAGGAGTGGCAAGCGTCACTTCAAGAAGAAGCCTGATGTGAACGAGTGAGGAGTGACAGCCTCCTACAGGGCTTTCCGATCAGATGTTCTGTGTGCTCTTTCCCACAGAAGAATTTTGCAAACGTGCCGCTGCCTGCAGCTATCCTTCGACTTAGCCGATTTTAATGATCTCCCAACGAAGAAGCCCCAGCTTCACTATCTGTTTACGCGGACAATGGTGTGGTTTCAATGCATTTCTGGATCAGGCATAGCTGCAGCAGTTGCCTAAGCGAGGAGAGCTGGCTTACCAATGTATTCTGTGCGACGGGCCCAATCTACGGCGGATCCTGCAAACCAGTTCCTATGAGGGTATCTCTGAGTACATTCCATCAACAGCAAAATATGATACAGCATCGATTGAGTCTGTCTTGCCTCTTTCATCAAAAGGCTATGAAGTGAGGATTGGTTCTGAAACCGCCAGGTCATGGCCCAGTGACTCGTCGGATGGCGCGGAATGTTGGCAATGGAGCTCGGTCCTTACAGAGCTTGTGAAGCTCCACTACTTAGAATAGTTATAAACCTAAGATACCCGTTCACCCCTACAGACCCTCGAGCACCTCCTTGTCCATGTAGAGTACTCTGAGATCTCTCTCGTAGGTGGTATTATAAGGCTGTGTCTCTCGCTTCATGTGTCTGAAGTTGGGGATTAGCTGTTGGAAATCTCGGGGTGGGCTAGTTCTGCTGTCCGTGAATACCATGGTGCGGTTTCATCTTGCTAGGCTAGCTTTGTGAATCGGTCGTATGGGTGAGGGATGGATGAACACAGGTGAATGGTACTGACATGAGATGGCAATGTGAAGCTGATACCTCGGGACTTTTAACAAACACGAACTGTCATGTGTGCTTAGTCCAACCAGCAGCCCTGAAGTTGACCAAATAAGTTCATCCACACTTGTCGCCGAATGCTCAAGTGATCTCATGGAACCAGATTGAAGGTGTGTACGCACACTATACATGTGTTTTGCTTATAGATGTACCTACAGTGGGGCTTTACAGGTTTCTTCGGATCGATATATGTCGTGTGTCTGGGCTTCTATAGCTGCTTACACAAACAGATGAAACCAGAGTAGACATACAAGGGAAGACACACTCATATATATGTATATATATATATGAGTATACATCCACGCACGAAGTTTAACAAACTGCCAGAGTCATACAGATGTCTAGTATATGCACAAAACACGTCCCGAATTATGCTTGCAAGATCGACCTAACATTAGTACAACTCTACACTGCCATGAAGACAAGCATCTGTCAGTGCACTTCTAGAAATGTCAGTCGATGTCACAGAAAGCTCGCGGCTCATCCCATTGCTCAAGCCGCTGGTGTCATGCACTATTAGTCGGGAACTTCATAATTTATGTGGTGCTAATATAATATTCTCTGTCATGGCTCTGCAATGACACCACTGCGTATTCGTAGACTCATGTGGGTCTTCGTGTGGTGCCTATACATGTTTAGGTGATATGGCATTCTGTGCGGTAAATGCACATACGAAGTCAACCTTATCATGCACATATATCGGCGTCATGCAGTTCCTTCATGTTACTGCTATACCGGATAAACATGTAGCCTGCGGATTTCATAATTTCATAACTGATCGTGCTGCTGCTTTTGCCTTGCTCAGCTACGTCATGTCGATCACGAGTGATGAGACAACGGATGACGAGCTCTTGGACTTGCTGTCCTGCCACCGCTCTGAGCCCTGTCGTGAAGCTAGTGGTTTTTAGTCTGACCAGCAATCCGAGCTATGTTAAGTACGGTCCTATGTAACAACCTAACCCTTAAATATTAACATTCATAGTATTTATATGTTGTTGTCTATATATATATACACGTATATGTTATAGAACCTATAGATATGAGTGGGTCCAGCCGATGCACCCCTCCTTCCAGAAGCCCGGGTGCACAGAAGCGCTAGATGTCTAGAGAACCTTTTATTGATTGTGATTGGTTAGCAAAACCTGAACCCTAGCTTTGTAATCGATTGCAATCAAACCACGGAACTGAGGTCGCACAGCCCCCACTAGACGAAGGGACTTTCTGACATATTGTCAAGTCTAATTTACCGTAGTACACTTCATCCGACGAACATATCAGACCCATACTGAGCGATCCCTGAGATGCATTAGTTCTAGACATAATGGATATATGATGACACCAGAAATCGCCATGCACCCACAAACATAAAGTGCCCGCATAGTGTTTAGCGAAGCAACACTTCCAATACAAGGGAGTCTCTTTCATTTACAATAAGAGCCACTCTTCGATAACATTGCCCAGGCCATGTATAGTGTCTACACTGGAATCAAGTGTTGAACCGTAGATAGTCGTAGTGTCGCCAAAGGTGTAAATGATCCAGGCCGAACCAAATGTGAGCAAGCATAGCTCATATATGCCTCCGGACTTGAACCCCTCAGTCCCTGGATCAGTCTCAAGATGTATAATGATGCAGCCACCCTGAAGTATTCATAGGAGGATGCAATGTAGACATGTTTTCGCAGCTGATGATGTCATTACGGTTGTTTCGTTATCGTTACATAGAGCCTTCACATATAAGTAGCTGTCTATGTAGGTCTACTCGACTACCCAGGAAGCCCTTGGGCCATATGCATGGCAAGCCAGACGCTGCACAGCCACGGGTGTGACTTCGGCAGGTGGAGACAAGCTACCGTTGGGCCTAACAGGCTTGGACCTAGCGCTTGCCTCATTACCTCGTTCCCCTAGTGCTTTTGGGGCCATAGCACAGGACCAGAGATTACACTTGCGACTGCCCAGAAAAATCGGGACACCTGGTACGGTTCTTCGACACGCGATCGAGGTTTTCGAGGATCTTCACAGTCGCAACAAGCCCATGTCCTTTAAATTCGGATTCACACATGATCCTGTCTTCCGATGGTCGAACCCTATCTATGGCTATGCGAAGTGTGTGCAGAAGTACGAGAGGATGGACATCCTATATGCTGCCACTGACGCTGTAGGGCCTGGGTTCCTGGAAGCCGCATTGGTCAACCTCTACAAAGGTGCCTAGGAAGCAACGATCAGGTATGTGTGCATGGCATGCTTCTTCCTTTTTGGGTTACACCGGCTTATCTTACTTGTACACATGTACAGAATATAAGCCTGTATAAATTGAGTATATGTATATGCAAGATTATGCAAGAATGAGTTTAGTGTTTTGCATTGCTGTGTTCTCATACCGTCTATGTGTGCAGTGTCTGTATATAGAGATGCATACACGCTCTAGAAGTGTAGACTCGTGTGTGGGCTTACAGTTGTTATTCTGCATGTGTACTGTCTCCTCTGGCAGAAGTACACAGGACACAAGTAACGACATATGTATATATATATATATAGAGATGTGTATAAGATGTGCATGCACATACTCGCATATGCTTGCTTGTGACAGCACCGAAACCTGTCCTTGTTGATACTTCTATTAGCAACCTTGCATACGTGTTGAAACCTTCCCGCATCACTCATATGTATTCGATTGTGTTTAAGTATGTGTGTGTATGTAAATATATATATATATATATGTGTATATATATATATGCTGTACTGCTTATGTGTTATCTTTTTATACATGTATCTATCTACATAGTTGTGTAGATGTATATGTGAGTATATATACATATATATATATATATATTCTTATATTTAGTTATGTTTGACGAAATTCATATACCTGTTTATATGTCTATATGTATATATGTATATGTGTGTGTCTCTGTATAAGTACGTATGTATGTATGTATGTATGTATGTATGCATGTATGTATGTATGTATGTATGTATGTACGTATGTATGTATGTATGTATGTATGTATGTATGTACTTGTATCTGTATGTATGTATGTATTTATGTGTGTGTACATGTATATAAGGTTTCTTGTGAGCTTGACCTGTGACATGTATCTTCCCCTCCCATAGGCATGTTGCATTTTGTTTCTCCATTTAGAACGGCATTCTTGCAGGACGAAGTGGCTGCCACAACGAGAACCTGGGGGGGGATACGATGCCAAAAGACGGCCATTTGCGTGGGCCGTACTTCACATACGTCGTTTCAAGATCTTTCAAGCATCCGCCACCTACAAGAGGAGAACAGCCCGAGAACTAAGATGGTCTGAAATTTTGATGATTGCTGCAACTCAGGTATGTATAATGCTGCTTCGCCTGAAGGCAAAGATGCCGATTCGCAGTGGTTTGACTGCTGCCAATCTGCAGTTTTAATTCGCTGTATATATGGCTGTGCAATGCTTGCTTTGCAGACAACAGCAGGGCTGCTCGCAAAAGGTTCTGTTACCTGTCCTTGTGTGCTCAGTTCAGGGATATACAGTGATACTGCAGGCACACTCACTTTAGTGATGCATCGCAGTGCTTTATCAATTTCCCATATCAAGGCGCGATATGTTCATGAGAACAGCCCGCCGAGGCCAGCTGCGCGTCGCAGATAGAGTTCGCGAGGGCGATGACGGAGCAGTTTGGAGAGGAGGCTGTGGCTGCAGCCGGAGTTCGTGATTGGGCCAAGGCAGGCCTCTGCAACTCGGAGCGTGATGTGCAGAGAGTTATCAAGCGGCAAGGCTTGAGACTGGAGCTGGAGTTCTCTCAGTTGCAGCTAGGGGAGGGGCTCTGTATAGATTGGATACGCCCGACGACGTGGTTGAAGTACATAGTCGAAAACAACCTTTGGTTCCATTTGGCCGGTTTGTCCTGTCCCAACCTTCAGCTATGCCAGGGCACATGGTCTGGATATTGGAGCAGGTTTTTTCAGCTGCATTCGGATATCGATTTACCTGAAGGTTTTGATACTGAGAACACAGCAGCCTTGTACATCCATGGAGATGAAGGTCGCACCCTCAAGAAGGCTGCGCTCATGATCATGGGATTTCAATCATGCCTAGGCTACGGTTGCTCTATAAACGGACGGACGCGGAAAATGGCACCTAATGGTGACTGCAGCTGGGAAGTCAACTATGCCGGCCATTCTTACACGACGAGGTTTGTCACGAACATCACGTCAAAAAAGATTACAGAGTCCTCTTTCGACAAGGCTTGCAACGAGCTGGGTAAAGACTTGTCTGAGTGCCTGCTGACTGGTTACACTTTCAGAGGAGTCACCTATCGGCTTTGTGTGATTGCCTGCAAAGGCGATTGGCCTTTCTTGCTTCGTACAGGACATCTCACCAGACACTTTTCACGATCTGTGAAGAAGCTCGGCAACGAAGGTCGGGGCAAAGGCATTTGCCATTTATGCATGGCTGGGACTGAGAATGTCCCAGCAGAGGAATGTGGCTACACCGACTCGCGGTGGCTTCGCACGATCCCGGCACCGCCACCATGGAACGCGACACCTCCCTTGCTGAGACATTTGCCTTGCTCGAAATCAAATCCTAGCACCTTCTTTCAGCCTGACCTTTGGCACACTGTACACCTGGGTGTTGGAAAGTCCTGTGCAGCCTCCTGCATAATTATGGCGATCATGGTTTTGCCTGCTTTCTGTACTTTGACAATGGAAAAGAGATGGGAAGCCATCACAGCAGACTATTTGTCCTGGTGCAAGGCTGCCAAAAGACAGGCTTATGTGAGCAAGATTGGCCCGAGCATGGTCAACTACGGCGACGGCACGGGTGCTGTTGGCGGATGGCACAAAGGTGCGCTGACTACAAACCTCATGCTTTGGTTGGAGTGTCTCTTAAGCAAAGGCTTGAACGCAGCTGAGAGCCGGATCGTCATGGCCCAACGTGCAGTGGAATGTGTCAACAGCTTGTTTCGTTTCTTGTACAGTGCTGGTGCCTTTCTGTCGAAGAGTGAAGCGATGTATGTTAGTCGGCGGGGGCTTCTCTTTCTGAGATGCTACACTGGGCTTGCTGAGATGTACTTTCGTGAAAACAAACCTGCCATGTTTCCTTTGATCCCAAAGCTACATTCGATGGACCACATCATGCTCCAAGTGTTTTTTCAGGCCAGTCGGCACGGCTTTGCTGTAAACCCGCTGGCCACGGGGTGCCAGCAGGATGAGGACGTGGTGGGAAGAGTTTCCCGAGTTTCACGCCGGGTTTCGATCCGGCAAGTAATTCGCAGAACGTTTGAGCGTTACTTAGCCGGCAGCTTTGCTGTGTGGCGTGATTCTGGCCTGTTGTTCACTGTTTAAGTCACGTGTATGCATCTTTATATGGATTTAGCCATATATAGACAGAGACTGAGATTTGGCATTATGCGGCCGAGTTTCTACATACAAGTATGCATGATTCTATAGGAAGTTACATACCTATGCAGCATGCGCATACACATGGACATTTACACATAGACATACATATATATATATATATACAAGCACATGTATACACCTGCATGAACACATTCTTGCATCCGAGCATGCACTCAATTATGCAGGCTCTGTTTACATACACACATGTTGTATTCATACATGCATGCATACACACATACATGCATTATATACACACATACATACACACATACACACATACGCACATACATACATACATACATACATACATGCATACATACATACATACATTCACACATACCTACCTACACACATACATACATAGATATACTTTTACATGTGTACAGAGCATCTATACTCACATGCATCTGAAATACATGCATGCAGTGACATACACATATTGACACACGCATATAGTACATGTTAGACATACTTACAAGCAGATACATATACAGGCACATTGATTTGTCATACTCAAGTGAGTTTGCAGGAACACAAGCAATATTTCTGTGGGTGCAACTATGTTCCATAAAACATATATAAACCTGCATACTTACATAACTATGTAATGACAAACTACAGCTCTACCTACATGGCAGGCCTACTGACCCAGCTAGCTAGCCAGCTAGCTACCAACCGACCTGGCAACACACATGCCTGGAAGCATCGTTCCTGCATACTTTCATGCGCAGGTACGTGTACATAGACACATATACGACATGCATACATCTTCATGTATGTATGCATGTATAACATACCAACCGGCATATATACGTGCATACATATGTACAAAGCCCTATGCGCAGGTTTCATATATATATATATATACACCTATTTATGCACAGACACACTACATATATTTCACTATTTAAGTATATACGAGTACCTGCATACAGACTTCTGCGTTTACAAACATAGTCACAGATGTTCATTCAGACTTATTCTCTTATATACATACATGTTAAGTGTATATATATATATATATATAAGTATATATTATCTAACATGTGCATGCAGTCTGTCCTTCACCCACTCAATCACTCATCTAGTGCGAAACATTTGCTGATGTTTCGGCCCTCACATGCCGTTCCACTCATTCAGTCAGTCAGTTTGTCGGTCAGCCATTCAATGATTCATTCCTTGCCAACTTCATTAGCCAATTCGACATTCCTTCATGTCATGTGAGCCCATATATATATATATATATATATATATAGCTTAGAGATTCGATTTCATTCATTATGTACCGTGGTATGATGTTCATGTGCGGTTTCATTCTAGTTGCCCCATCAAGCATGCCAAAACTATATTCGATTCCTGCCGTATCAGCTCTCACGTATGTCTGCATACATAAATACACATATGATGGTATGCATACAAACATTTCTTGTTCCTTCGTCATGATATATCTGTTCATAACAGACCTGTGCACTTGCTGAATGTGTTCCTGCCTCCGTTCCTTCATTACTCCTTGATACATTCCGAAATGATTCATGTTTCTCTGTTCCTCTACCATATATTATTTCAGCGAGCCAATCGTTCATCCCATACATACATACATACACGCATACATGCATGCATGGACACGCATGCACATGTACACATAGCAAGCCCTGCATGTCTTTACATACATATACACCCAAAGAAATATCGAATCAACCGGCCCAGAGTTTACAATTGGCTTCGCCGCATGGAGATGCACGAGGACGAGCGAGAACATCCGAGGCTTTGGTTCTATTCTGGGGGGTGGGTCGTGGTTTACTTCAGGGTCCAGGGGATGTGATTGCTGGTGGTGGGTCTTAGATTTCCCCAACATGCTCCTGAGTATATGTCCACCTGAACCCACATCCTAAAAACCCGGAAATTCTCTAAACCCCTGGAAATGCCTCCGATAACCCGGTAAAAAGATCCAGCCCTAAAAAAGGTAGGCAACGGTTTCCGCGGGTAATGTTTAGAGTTTAAGGTTTAGGGTTTAAGGCTTAAGGTTTTCAGTTTAGGGTTTAGGGTTTAGGGTTCAAGGCTTAGAGTTTAGGGTTTAGGGTTTGCGTGTTGAAAGGATCCCTCCCCGACTATGCTCAGAGCCGAGCAAGCCCGGTACTATCCGGTACTCCGACACCTTACAAAGGCCGAGAGCTATACCTAGTAATCAAACTCCAAAGCGAAAATCATAACGGTTTAGGGGTGTAGGGGTTTAGGGCTTCGGGTTCATAATCATCCCAATCCGCCAAAACCTTATACACCCTACAATTATGGCGCTACATGCCCTAAACCCTACAGCAAAAACCGCATACCCTACACGCCGTAATCCCAAAAGCTCCGGTGAATCCGACAGTTTGCCCCAGGTGAAGCAGTTCTGGAGGAAGCCGCAGCCTCGTCGGACGGCGTCCTCAAATACGTCAGATCGGAGTTGGAGCAAAAGTGCCCTGGCTGTTGACTTCCTAAGTAGGCCTTTGGGCTATTTTATAGTTTCCTTTAATGGGCTACAGAGAACCCCATCCACGAACACGCCCCGAAGACCGGCGACTTTCGACAGGCGGATTTTTCGGAGTTTGGCTTCGCATGTTGAAGATCCCTGGACCCTAGCTGGATCCCAAATATCACACCTTTTTTAAGGACTTATATAAGGAAATCATAAGTCGGACCCCTAAAAATCAAGGTTTTCTAGGGTCCAGGTAAACCCTGAAGTTGAATCAACCAAGAGGCGTGCGACTTGAAAAAGAGTGCCTTGGCGGCCTTGAGTCTATCTCATCAGCACAACCCGGGAGCTGCAAATCCTAAATTCCTAACCACGTACCTAACTTTCATTGGTATACTCTCACGAACAGTAATCTATGTAACTTCTTTCCGGAGCATAAGTACCTAATTCTTGGGTCCTTCGGAAGCTTAGGGAAAGGTTGTCGATGGTGGGTTGTGAATACTGTAACCGGCGCGTCTCGCGCAGTCGTGTCCGAGGAATTCGAACACCCTCAGCCTCAATCTTTCATTCGCTTTAGCAAAAAGCGAGACAAGTATCTACACCGGAGATTATAGTCAAACTTCCAAGGAGATGCTGTTGCGCAGCTTTTGACTTTTGACACGGCCTTGCTGCGATTCTGTAAGATCTCAGGGCTAGAACTTCAAGCCCGAAGCCCTTATCTTCGTTTAAGTGTATCTCTGTACTTGTTGAGGTATTCGGAGTTCTGTTCCGCCAGATCAGTAGGAACCAGCACCCTCCAGCGAGTTCAGCGTCCAAGACCCTGAAAGCCAATAAATCCTACACGAAAGCTGAATCCATTGTCCACTATTGGTTTATGTAGGTTCTTGGCCCGGAAGTGCATGACATGCTTTGAGGCTTGGCGTGCCCCGGTTCCGTCTACGCCTTTTGAAGGATCAGGCTGGAATGAATCGAACTAATTCGTCGCCTTGGGGCTTGGGGTTTGGAGTTGAACTCGAGCTGTTCCATGTAAGGTGCCTTGCGGCTGAAAGATCATGGAAGTTACATTCTCTACAGGGTCACGTACCAATAATAATACTGTATATCGCAACGCATTGGCGTCGCAGTACCCATACACTGGAAGCTTGGCGAGGCCAAATTATATATTGCGTTGGTTCACGAGTCCATTTGAGCCCTGTCGTACATCGTGTAACACCCGAGCGAGCCGCTACTGCAACCCTTGTGGAACCGTGAATTGAACACGGATCTCAACCCTAAACCTAAATCCTACAAGCCCTGTAGCCCGAAACTCCTCATGAAAGAAGTAGGCTTATAGAAGTTGTCCAGGTGTATCGGGTTAAAAGTTTCTAAGGGATGCTACACTTTCCACAAACCGCGAGCTTTTGCTTGCTGAGAGTCTAGATTTTTGGGTAGAGGCAGCAGCCAGAAAAGTTGGAACATTGGTAGCCTCCAATGAATCGGTAAAGCCTAGAAGTACTCCCCTTCTCCATGTACCAACTTAACGGTCTCCACTTTGTAGAAGTGCATGATTGCAGGTCGCTGCGACCCCTGCTGCTCTTTCTGAGGGTGGCACTGCCCAGGCTAGAGCGGCTTCGTCAGATGGAAGGGCTGTAAAACGAAGAACCCAGGATGAGGACGAGACGATATATGCTCTCGAATACCTGTCCCCGATTTTGATGAAGACGAAGAAGAATCAGAAGCATACCAATAGTAATAAGATGATGATAGGAACGGTGATGATGATAATGACGGTGAAGATGGTGATGGTGGTGATGGTGAAGAGGCAGAAGATGGTGGTGGTGGTGGTGGTGGTGGTGGTGGTGGTGGTGGTGGTGGTGGTCGTGGTCGTGGTGGTAGTGGTGGTGGTGGTCGTGGTGGT